GACAATTTTTCTTTTAAAAATTACAAGTAAGAGTTTTTGCTTCCAGGTCACATAATAATTTAAACAAAAACTGGTTCGAGCTGCTGAGATCTAGCGTTAAGGATAGCAATCTGACCAATCCTGATATTTGTTTTAAATCGATCTTCTAGGACTCTGATGTGTTATACCCTAGTCTCTTGATTACTAAAATTTAATCTCTCCATAACACTTTGAACCTGATTTTAAAGTTCTTTGCTCTTTTAATTTTTTAGTTGCCCTTTAAAACTTAATGTCATACCCTGGCACAGTAGCTAATGCCTTAATTCTAGCACCCTATAAAGGCTGAAGTGAAAGAATCATTTGAGGTCAGGAGTTCAAGACTAGCCTGAGCAAGAGGGAGACCCCATCTCTACCAAAAGTAGAAAAAATTGGCTGGGTGTGGTAGCATGCACCTATCCAGACTACTCAGGAGACTGAGGCCAGAGGGTCGTGTGAGCCTAGGCATTTGAGGTTATTATGAGCTATACCACTGCACTCTATCTGGGGCAATGGGATGAGACTTTGTCACTAAAAATAAAAATAAGTAAAACTTAATGCCATACATTAGCAACATCTTTTTTTTTTTTAAACTATGCCACAATGCCTGGCTATTTTTACAGATGATGTCTCTAGTTCAGGCTGGTCTTGAACTCCTAAGTTCAGGAGATCCTCCCACTTCAGCCTCCCAGAGGCTGGGATTACCGACATGAGCCACTGCGCCTGGCTGTTGTTGTTTTTAAAAGAGAGTTTGCTGACTTGGTGCCCATAGCTTGTGGTTAGGGTGCTGGCCACATGCACTGGGGCTGGAGGGTTCAAACCTGGCCAGGGCCTGCTAAACAATAATTACAACAACAACAACAAAAATAGCCGGGCATTGTGGTGGGCGCCTGTAGTCCCAGCTACCTGGACGGCTAAGGCAAGAGAATCTCTTAAGCCAAAGAGTTTGCTGTGAGCTGTGATGCAATGGTACTCTACTGAGGGTGACATAGTGAGACTCTTGTCTCAAAAAAAAAAAAAGAGTTTGCTGAACATGACCTGATTGGCATTTTTTTTTCTTCACAGTTCACAGCACCCTCAAATTCTTGGGCTTAAGTGATTTTCTTGCCTCAGCCTCCCAAGTGGCTGGAACTAGAGGTGCCCGCCACAGTGCCCAGCTATTTTTTTTGTTGCAGTTGTTTAGCTGGCCTGAGCCGGGTTCAAACCCGCCACCCTCAGTGTATGTGGCTGGCACTGTAACCACTGTGCTATAGGTGCTGAGCCCTGATTGGCATCTTTGAAGCCAAGAAAAATAATAAAAATAAGATTTTGTAAGTCAGCATGACTGTGAGAATTGATAATCTGTTAATGTAGTATATAAGAAAAGAGATCCTTTTTTAGTGAAATTATTTTAGATTATTTGGAGTCTATTTCACTTATTGAACAGGTATTTATTGAGTGCTAATCAAATGCCCAGTGCGTTGTTTGCTTTGTTCTGGGGATGCAAAGAGATAAGGTAGACGTGATTTGTGCTATGTGGAGTACCAGCTTTGTAGTTAAAAGCAACATTCTGAACGTAATCATAATAAAGTATGGTAAGTACCTATGGGCTTCTGTGTGAAAGTACAAGTAGAGGGAGAGTTGAAAGAAACATGTTCTAAAAGGCTCCCTTCTCTTTTGAGACCTAAAAGGTTGTAAGTGAAGAAGCCTGGAAAGAATCTTTTATGCATGGAGAAGGGTACATGGAGGTTGTGGGTGAGAGATGTATATTAGAAAATCAAAGTTCAGTATAGCTGGATCTTAAGACTTGGGTTTGGAGGGCAGCTGTGGTAATGAGAGGTGAGATCAGAGAAGTAAGCAGGAGCCAGGGCTTGAAGAACATCGAAGCCAATGTAAGTTTGAGCCTGAAAACCTTTAGAATATTTTAAGGGTGGGAGGAGGGAAAATAAATGGAAGGGCTTAGAGTTTTAGAACTATCACTTTGGGTCCAGTGTGGAGAACTGAAGGAGAGTGAGGCTTGAGGCAGAGGACTGATGAGGAGGCTTTTGTGATTACCTAGACAGTGGTTGATGATGGTTTGGACTAAAGTGGTGGCACTGGTAATAGACGTGGACAAATGAGGGCTATTTCAAGGTAAAATTGATTAGAATTGGTAATTTTGCCAGGAGGTAAGGAGAGGGAGGGATAGTGAAGGTTGCTGACTTAGGCAGTGGAATGGGAAACAAGGCTATTTATAGAAAGAAGATAAAACTGGAATAGGAACAGATTCAGGGTGATAGGGACAATGGTGATTTTGTTTTGAGGAGCATATTCAGGAAAGAGCTAAGAGCTAGGTTTTATAGACTTAGATGTCCTCTTGTGGAAGAGTGGCTGTTCTTTAATTTTTTGAGAGAGCAAGGAAGGGTTTTGTCAGCCTGTTAAACTGTGAACTCTCCCAGGAAAAAATGTGGGTTATGTCCCCAGAAAGATACACATACATATAACAGTTTCCATACAATTCCAAGGTTTATAAAAATAAGTACCTGTGATCCTTAGGTTGTAGAGTAAAAGAAGACCTCGAGAAAAATCCCAAAGAACCTCAATTTTTACAGAATAGCAAGAGGTCTGGCAAAGACTTAGAATTGAGTATTATGCCCTGTGTAAAACCAGATAAATGTGGTGATACAGAACCAAAAGAAGAGAAGGGTTTTAGAAGAGGGAGTAGTCAATGGTGACAAATGTCCCTGAGGGCATCAAGTGCTGTAAGGAATCTGTTACAGTACAGTGTCCATTGTAAGGAGTCTATTGGATGGATTCAGTAATTAAATCTCTAGCAGTTTAGCGGCAGTGGATTGAGGCATTAATGGAAAGTAGAGAAGTAGAATCAGAAAGTATAGACAGTTCTTTGAAGAAGTTTCATTATGAGAAAAAGAGGTAGATAGTGGTTGGAGGGAAGATTGGGTGAGACTTGAGTATGTTTAAATGCTGACAAGACAGTGAGGAGGCAAAATAGAGGATATGAATAATGGCTGCCTGAGTCCCTAAGAATGTTAGGAAGGATATGAGATGCAGAGCACACGTAGAAGGATAGTCTTAGGACAGTAGACATTGTAAGTGGAAGAGAGAAAAAGAAAAATGAATGAGCATGAAAACAGTTAGTGCTTGGTAGCCAAGTAGTTGGAGGAAATCTCATTTATTTCCTGTTTCTCTGAAGTTGGATGTGAAATTATTTCACTTTGTGAATCATTAGATGATGGTTTTTAAAAAATCATCAATTATTACCTCATTAAATTTGAAGATTATAGCTTGGTGCCCCTAGAACAGTGGTTATGGCGCCAGCCACATACACCGAGGCTGGTGGGTTTGAGCCCAGCCCAGGCCAACTAAATAGCAATGACATCTGCAACAGGCAGCACCTGTGGCTCAGTGGGTAGGGTGCCCACCCCATGTACTGAGGGTGGCGGGTTCGAACCCAGCCCTGGCCAAACTGCAACAAAAAAAATAGCCAGGTGTTGTAATGGGTGCCTGTAGTCCCAGCTATGTGGGAGGCTGAGGCAAGAGAATTGCATAAGCCCAAGAGTTTGAGGTTGTCGTGAGCTGTGATGCCACTGTACTCTACCGAAGGAGACATAGTGAGACTCTGTCTCAAAAAAAAAAAAAAAAGTTGAAGATTACACTGGCCCAGCAAGTTGGCCCACACCTATAATCTGAGAGGTCAAGGCAGGAGGATTGCTTGAACTCAGAAGTTCAAGACCTGGCTCACGCCTGTGGCTCAACTTATTGAACAGACTATTTAAACTGTAAGTAGAAGTAGGTAGAGAATAACCAAGTATTACATTCATAGATATTTTATAAATATAAATATATGAAGTTTAATTTTAGGACTTTCATAGCAGTAAAAACCTCTCAAAGTGTGCAATTCATGTTTTTTAGAATACTCATAAGGTTGGGCATCCATCTATATAAGTACTTTAATGAAAGGTAATTCAGAAAATGTCAATTTGGATTTGGGATGTCTAGCTTTAATATATTAACTTTTAATTTTTTACAGGTATAGTAGATCTATCTTATCATAAGCTGATGATATAAGGGAAGATAATTGATCTCTCCTTTAAAGTTTCTCTGGCATTTCAAACAGAACATTATTTTTAAAAATCTCATCTATATCAGGAAAGCTTTAATTTCTATTATTTATGATCCTTGTCAATATAAAATTATTTCATCCTTAAATACGACACTTATAAGTAATAATATATTTTCTCCAATTTTAATATCAGGTGTATCCAGATTAAGTAGAATGATTTTGAAGTATTTCTTCTTTTTCTATTGTCTATAAGATTTGGCATGATCTGTTTTTTGAAATTATCTTTTCCTTTTATTTATAAATATTCGTTGTTTATTATTTGAGACTTTGAAAAAAAATAAGTTAACTCATGACTCCATACTGAACCTCAGAGTCAAAGCATTCTATAATAGATATACTCTTATTTGACAATGTGAATGCTACTTTCTTTGCATTATTATTATTATTGCTTAATATTTTGATGCAGCAATCATCTGATTTCTTTTCTGAATGTATTTATCTTTGTTCTTTACAAGGTTTTTGTTTCTAGTCCTTATCTTAAACATTGTTGTTATTACTAAATTTTAAGCCTTTTTAATTTTGTGAAGGCAAAATGTGGAAACCTAATAAACACATGTGTATGTAAAAAAAAAAAATGGATATGACACTTGACTTTACATAATCTTCTAACGTAGAAGTTTTTTTCTATTGCCATTGAGTTTCTCTGAGTATAGATCTTGCTTTATTAGGAAATAAGATTTATAAACTTTCTTGCCCACAGCTGCTACTGGTGATCATTGCTCAAGTTAACAACTACTGGTTCAGCTGTCTTTTATTTGCAAGTCTTTAGTGAAAGATTGTGATGTTTCATACATTGCTGTAGTTAGCATTTAATTATCTACCGCTGTTTTCAGTGTTTTAAAATGTAACAATGCACTCTTACCATTTTATTTTAATTTTTCCCATGTTATTTTTTGTCTCCTTTACAGTACTCTGTGCAAAAAACTTGGTGAAAAAGGATTTTTTCCGTAAGTAAATTAACTTTAAATGTAAATCTTGAATGTTCTGTATAGGTTTTTTTTTCATAGTATTTTAAGGATTGTCTGGCTTAGGAATTTTTGTTCAGAAACATACTCAGGTTATTTTATGAATGTTTTGATTCACAGCCATTTGGCATTACATTTCTTTGAGGATTTTGTGTTTTTTTTTATCTTTAAACCCTTTATCTTTATTCTCTCTCACATATTTATGTGGCTGTGTGTGTATACAGGTATAAATGCAGATGTGGATAATGTATATGGAAGGTATACATACTACTAAAATTCTAGAAAAGGCTTAAGAGATTATTTAGTACATGGTTTATTCTCTGATATTTTATAGGAAATTTTATCCATGCACTGAGGATTCACTGGAGGTTAAAAGAGTCATTGAACTTGCTTAGAATTTGAGAGCATAGAAAAGAAAGCTCTACCACATTTGTTAAGTATATATTTGGGTTACTATGAAAATTTTGATATAAACTGTGTTATAGTCCATTATTTCACATCCAGGAAACACAATCGACAACATCCTTTCTGAGTCATCTGTGCAAGTTTCATCTGGGAGGCCTTCATTTATTTCTATCTGTGCGGATTCTCTTGTTTCTTGATTTTTGTGTTTCTTAAAACTTTTGTAATGACCCACATACTCTTATGTCTTAGACTGCGAAGCACATGTTTGATTCTCGTATGCTTTATTTAGGATTAGGTTTTGTGAGAAAGTATTGGGAAGCACCATCGTGTGTTAACAGTCTTTACTGACAGTAGCTTTAAATTATTGGTTAAAAATGATATAATTTTTAAAGTGAACACAGTTTTATACAGGGTGGACATAAAGTTCGTGTGCAAGTCAAAATAGTTTAACATAGTAAATTGCACAGGAACTTTACCCTGTATGTAGAATATTTGAAATTAGAAATAGGGAAGATTTGGCCAGGTGTGGTGGCTCACACCTGTAGTCCTAGCACTGTGGGAGGCTGAGGCGGGTGCCTGAGCTCAGAGGTTCGAGACCATCCTGAGCTGGAGTGAGCCAGACTCAGACCTGGTCTCTACCAATAAAAAAAAAATAAGCTGGGCGTTGTGGCAGGCGCCTGTAGTCCCAGCTACTTGGGAGGCTAAGGACAAGAGAATCGCTAAAGGAAGAAAAGAAAAAAAAGAAAATTAATAAAAACACAAAACTTCAAACTAAGATGAGTGAAAGCCAGTTGAAAGCAAAAATTCATAAAAAACAGGGAAGATTCATTAGATTTTTAAATTTAGACCCTACAAGCCAGCAAGAACAGGTGATATGTGCTGTTAAATCTCATATGACATTAGATAATTTTCAAGAGTTTGATAAAAAAAAATCTTTTTTTTTTTTTTTTTTTTTTTTGAGGCAGAGTCTCACTATGTTACCCTTGGTAGAGTGCCGTGGCATCACAGCTCATAGCAACCTCAAACTCTTGGGCTTAAGCAATTCTCTTGCCTCAGCCTCTCAAGTAGCTGGGACTACAGGTGCCTGCTACAACATCCGGCTATTTTTTTGTTGTAGTTGTCGTTGTTGTTTAGCTGACCTGGGCTGGGTTCGAACCTACCAGCCCCTATGTATGTGGCTGGCACCCTAGCCACTGAGCTACAGGCACTAAGCCAAAAAAAACAATTTTTTTTTTTATATATCTTTAAATCATACTTAATGCATTCTATTTAAAATTTTATTACTTCTAGTTTTTCTAGAGTAGACCCTGAATTAAAGTTTGTAAGGTAACATCTTATGAAACTATATAGGTATACATTTTTATGGTATCTCTGTGCTTATATGGGAAAGCAGTTGAATAGGATAATTTGAAACATGGGAAGAAAGTTATAAGCAATCTTCAATTTATGTACCATCTGCTCTTGCTTTTTCTTTTTTAATCCTCCCTTCTAGGATATTGATAATAGAGGAGACTCTGCCTGTGTGAGGGCAGGGGTATAAGGAAACTCTTAGCACTTTCCACTTAATTTTTCTGTGAACCTAAAACAACTTTAAAAAATAAAATCTTTATTTAAAAACTAAAAAAATATATATTTTTGCCAGCAAAAAAAAAAAAATCCTCCTTAAAGGAGGTTTAAAGGTTGATCTGAGGTAGGGTTTATCCTAATGGAACTGCAAAATGGCAAATAGAATTGGATAGGGTGGTGACAAGGAGCAAAGGGAGGGAAGTGTGGGGAACACCCCTGCTTCTAGACCCTCCAAGATCTGCTCTGGTTTTAAAGATAAAATCTTCAGTTTTGTCTCCTAGCTTTCCTTTTCAAATTCTTTTCCTTCCTCTATAGTTTCTCCAATAACATATCCAAATATTCTTATCTCAGTTTTTCTAGAAAATCTAGAGGAATCTTACTTTAATTTTTTTGTAAACCTCAGAGAACTGATTGTTATCCTTCATATGATTTTTATCTGTTATTAAATTGTGGGTGAAAGAACTCTTCTGCTTTTTTCATTGGTGCAGGTAGTAAAAAAATTGATAAAAGTTTTAAGAATGTAAGCTTGCTTTAGGGATAACAAAATTAGGGGAAATTGTAATTATCTTTCATTTGCTGCAAACCAGTGGGGGTGGAGGGTCAGGGACATGCTAAAGCAAACTCCCCAACCTCTACACTCCCCCCGCCCCTCAGTCCTTGGTATGTGACTTTAAAGCTCAGAATGGGAGACATGGGATGGCCTAGGGCAGGGGTCCTCAAACTTTTTAAACAGGGAACCAGTTCACTGTCCCTCAGACCTTTGGAGGGTCGGACTGTGGGCCTGGGACGAGTTGGCTGCTAAGCAGGACAGGCAGCCAGTGGCAGAAACACCTGGCAGGCCACTGGATAAATGTCCTCGGCAGGCCTCATGTGGTCCGCAGGCTGTAGTTTGAGGATGCCTGGCCTAGGGGAAAAGGAAAGCTGAATTTTAGGCCTTCAGTGGGGAGTTAGCCAGGGATGGAATTATGTCCCAGTCCCCACACTGGCCAAGGTCCCAAGTCCCTGCTCTGGTAGATTTACATGCACGTGCATATGTAAGGGCATTTTTGGCCTGTTTATGAATTGAGAATTTCCCACATTAGTTTCAGAGAAAAATAATAGTTCCCAAATTCTTTAATTAAATTTAAATGAGTGTGTTTGTGGATCAGAGCACAGTTATTATTTGTAGTAAAATATAGTTAGGTTTTTCTTGTCATTCAATTTAAAGTATGTTGAATGAGAAAAGTAAATTTGAATATGAAGCATGACTATAGAGTGATGGCATAGATATTTTTTTCCACTTCAGGAAAAAGTCCACTGTCATGTGTTATCTTTTATAGAATAATTTGTATGTGAGATAATACTATTTATTCCAAGGCACTACCATTGTTGAGAAGAATTTTGTTAATTCATAATTTAGAACTTTTTTTAAGCTTGTTGGCTTTTAAAAATAAGTAACTTCCCCCAAAATTTTGGCAGAAAATTTTCAAACAAAGCAACAGGTAAAAGAATTTTATCATGAACACTCACCATCTAGATTCTACCATAACTTTTTCACACATCTTTTCCAATATAGTTAAATGTGTTTTTTTAAGTTATATTTTCACTAATGTCAAATTTGTTCTGTTATGCAACATTTAAAAAAAGTTTTGTGTGAATGACAGATAATGTATTAACGTGTTTTGTAGGGGTCAAATTGAAGTCATTTAGAGCCAAGATGGGTTGGTTGAATGTTTTTTACCTTGCCTATTCAAAAATTATTTTGGGGAGAAAGTAACTTTTAAGTTGAAATCATCATTTCATTATTATTTATAGCTCAACAAGCATATTTGTATAATAAATTGTTGCAAGATGTGGTGGCTCAATTCTGTAATCCCATGATTGGGAAGCCAAAGTAGGAGCATAGCTTGAAGCTGCGAGCTTAAGACTAGCCTGAGCAACACGAAGAGACTCCATATCTTAAGGAAAAAAACAAAAGAAAAAAGTTAACCGGGTGTGTTGGTGTGTCCATCTATAGTTTCAGCTACCCAGGAGACAGAGACAAGAGGATCCCTTGAGCTCAGGAGTTCAAGGGTGAGCTATGATTGTGTCACTGCACTGTAGTCTAGGCTACAGAGTGAAATACTATCTCTTAAAAAAAAAAAAAAAAGAAGTCTTGAGCTTTAGCTATTTTATATAACTCAGAAATGATGTGGAAAATTGAGAACATTTTTAAATACATAAAAAAATACTTTAGTCACTTTCTATTTTAACACTAGAGGTCTCACTATCTTTGAGAAGTTGATATCTTTTGACCACATTAGAGTAATATGACTCTCAAGTTAATTTTTTTTTTTTTTTTGTAGAATAATGAAATTAGGTTAAGTTGAACTTAGGTATTTTCTGTTAAGGTATTGAGTTTGTATTCTGGTTTGTTGTATTGTTTAATAGAAGACAAGCATATAGGCAACTGAGACTTAGACTTTCCTACTCAGTTAAGGCTCTAGAAGCTAGACTTAGAGGTTTTTTTTTTTTTTGAGACAGAGCCTCAAGCTGTCCCCCTGGGCAGAGTGCCGTGGCATTACAGCTCACAGCAACCTCCAACTCCTGGGCTCAAGCGAGTCTCCTGCCTCCGCCTCCCAAGTAGCTGGGACCACAGGCGCCCGCCACAACGCCCTGCTATTTTTTGGTTGCAGCCGTCATTGTTGTTTGGCGGGTCCGGGCTGGGGATTCGAACCCGCCACCTTAGGTGTACGTGGCTGGCGCCTTAGCCGGTTGAGCTATAGGTGCCGAGCCGACTTAGAGGTTTTGTGTGAAAAAAGTTGTTTTTCTTAGTCCTTAGTTCTTTTTTTTTATATTTTAGAGATAGGGTCACACTCTTTTGCCCAGGCTGGAATGCAGTGGCACATCATAGCTCACTGCAGCCTCAAACTCTTGGGCTCAAGCAGTCCTCCTGCCTCACCCTCCCAAGTAGCTGAGACTACAGGTGGTTGCCATCATACCTGGCAGTTTTTTGTGTGGGGCGGGGGGGTGGTGGCAAGGTCACACTGTGTTGCCCAGGCTGGTTTCTAATTCTTGGGCTTAAGCAGTCCTCCCTATTTGGCCTCCCAAAGTGCTGGGATTATAGGTGTGAGCCATCACACTTGTCCCATTCTTTAACTAGTTAAATAATAACCCAAAGAGGCTGGAAATGTCATATTTGTTTTGTTTTTTGCTTACAAACATACATTTATGTTTATTTAAATAGTAGAATCAAAAGAATAAGATAGATGCATTCTTCCAAGGAGAAAATACTTAATGTTATTGAGGTAGATGTAAAATATTCTTCTATTAAACACATTACAAATGGTTAGCTGTTGTTGAAATGATATGAATAGCACTAAACTTCAAGAACAATATAGTTAAGTAGATTTGATACCCTAAGTTACCAAGTTTCTTTAAAATTTAACACTTAACACTTAAATTTTGGTCTTCCCTTATTTAAAGGTGACAGATTATAGAATCATAGAATTGGTAGATGATTTCTGTCTTTCCTTGAATCTTGGCAAGTTAGTATCTTGACTTAAAAAATTAGCATAGATATTGAGATGAATATTCTCTCCAGACGTCAGTATTTACCAGCGGTTTGTTCTAGTATTTTCACCTGTCCTCAAGAAATCTAGTCAGTGCCACTATGTCTAACATGTAAATTGCCATTTGTGTCTCTTTAACATTTTTAGTTCTCCTTTCTCTTTGTCGTTTTGTCAAAAAAGACAGCTATTGTTGTTATTGCTTTGAATAGAAAACTAGACTGCCATATTTGACATGAGTGCCTTATTAATTCCATATTAGATCTTTCAGAGTAGCATTCTTAACTGTCATTTCCTTTCATTATTTTATTTTATTTTTAAAAATATAGATAGGGTCTTTGTCACTCTGGCTGGAATACTGTGGCACTATCACAGCTTGCAGTAAGCTCAAATGCCTGGGGTCAAGTGATTTCACTGCTGCCTGAGTACCATCATGCCAGGCTGATTTTTCTTATTTTTTGTAGAGACAGGGTCTCACTCATTTTGTTGTCTATAACTAGGGTTATAGACATGAGTCACTGTCCCTAGCTGCCATTCCCTTTTTCATGTGACTTCTCTAGTTCAGGGTCTTCTCATCCTCCTTTTGGGTGATTACAGCAGCTTCACAGGCAGTGTGTGTTTCTGGTCTTCCCTTCCCCTCCTCTGCCCTGAATACCACTAATAGAAAAATATGACAATTTTTATAGCCAAGCTCAAGAACTTAAAATGGCTCCCTCCAATGTATTGCAATCAGTCTAAGCCCTATTTTCTTACTTTTTAGCCTCTCTCTGGATCAGTCCTACCTCTTTGACAGTGTTTATATTTATACCTTAGCACCAACACTTCAGTGAGACTCTTCAAAGCCCTTCAGATGCTTTATTTTCATATCCTCTTTGGTACTCTTCTTCCTGTTCAGTTGGGAAAGTTCTCCTTTTCCTATTTGTCCTGTAGAACCCAGAAGAGTCCCTCCTGAACTCTTGACTGTCCTGTCTTGACTCTCCAAATTCAAACTGTTATCTTGTTTTTCTGGGCTCTTTTTACTTGTACTCACTGTTGAAGCATAGTACATGAGAGGTATAATACAATGTAGTGGTTAAGAGCATACAGTTGATAGACAGCATGTTCATGGGTTTAGAATCTAAACTTTAGCTCTGCTACTTACATCTTTGTGACCTTGGACTAGTGCCTCAGTTTCCTCACCAGTAAAATGGGGACAATAGTCTCTTGGGATTATTCATAAGGATTAAAGATATGAAATAATTAGAATAGTAATTGATGTAGTATAGTGTTAATAAGTATTTGCATTATAACCAGTACTGCCAAGCATTTGCTTGTTCTCAGGTTTTTTTTTTCACATGTATAGTATTTTTATCTGTCCAATTAGATAGAAAGCTTTTTTAAGGCAAAATATTACATCTTTAGTCACTTGTGGTAGTTATTTAGTAAAACTTGTTGGCTAATTTAATTTCTCTGTAGCCCATATTCCTGTGTGAAAATCTTTAAGAAGCTCTTTCTTCAAACAGTCCCCAATGGGTGGGTGTCAGGGACTGACCCTCCTCGAAGATGAAGATGTATATCTACATGTACATCTTTTTTTGTACATCTGTTTGAGCTGCCCAGTCAGAACATACAAAAAAAAAAAAAAACTTGTCTGTGGGGTCAGTCCCTGACACCCCCCCTTTCCCACCTCCTTGGTCTGTGACTGTTTAAGTGAACCACTAAGGGAGACATTTCGAAAGAGAGATGCATGAATGTTTTAAGCATTCATCGTCCTGCTTTCTGGAGTCAGAGGGCTAGTAACAATCTATAAAAATGTCCACATTATGAAGTAACTTTGGTAGTTTAAAACGAGAGAATATTTTAAGATAATAAGAAAAAATACAGTTTTGGTATTTAATGTAGAGATAACTTTAAGCTTTGTTTTAAAGTGGACTACTTTTCATTTGTAAGTTAAATGTTAAACTTTAGAAAAAGAATTAAAGAATGCAATGCTCTTTTGCTTTGTAGCAAATGGTAGTCTTTATCTTACATGTCAAAATATTCTTTAATTTAAAAAATCTTCCTCCTTTTCACAGGACTTCCTGATCCATTTGCTAAGGTGGTAGTTGATGGATCTGGGCAATGCCATTCTACAGATACTGTGAAGAATACACTCGACCCAAAGTGGAATCAGCACTATGACCTGTAGGTTTAAATTATTAATTTGAAATTAAACATAAAATTAATATTATTTGACATATTCTGAGAAGAATTATGGACGATGATCTGACTTTGATTTCTGGTGTAATTTGGTCTTAGAGAAGGGATAGGAAACCCAGAAGGAAGGTGCTTTGGTTTATTGAAAGCTTTGATAGGTTTTGGAAGATGAGGTACCCCTGCTAAGCCTATGAAGAACAAAATGAAACTGGCTCATGGTATAGGAGGGTTCCTTCCTTTTTTCAGTTAAATAAAGGTATTAATTCACCTTGGGCCAATTATAAATAGGAAACCGAATATCAGAATTGGGATTATACACAGAGGCATACTTTTTTAATTCTATGTAGGTAGTTTCTTTTAAATTTTATTTTAGTTATAGGAGTATATATGCACATGTATCTTTTTTAAAAGGCAAATGACGTTCTAAGGATTTTAATGGAAAACAGCAGTTCCTTTCTTAGTTCTCATTTCTCATTCTCCAGGATAGTGCTTTAATAACTTTGGCTTTTTATTCTGGTATTTTTTAAATTTGTAGATAATTTTTTTTTTTTTTTTTTTTTTTTTGGAGACAGAGCCTCAAGCTGTCCCCCTGGGCAGAGTGCCGTGGCATTACAGCTCACAGCAACCTCCAACTCCTGGGCTCAAGCGAGTCTCCTGCCTCCGCCTCCCAAGTAGCTGGGACCACAGGCACCCGCCACAGCGCCCGGCTATTTTTTGGTTGCAGCCGTCATTGTTGTTTGGCGGGTCCGGGCTGGGGATTCGAACCCGCCACCTTAGGTGTACGTGGCTGGCGCCTTAGCCGGTTGAGCTATAGGCGCCGAGCCAATTTGTAGATAATTTGATTATTTTATGGCACCTCAATTTTGGTTTTGACTTTTTTTAGTTTTAGGTATCTTTAAATTTCTTACCTTAGAAGGTGATTCAGCTTTTGAAACTTGATATCCCTAATCCTCACTTCTATAACACTTACATGGCCCTTCCTTTCTCCAGCTCTCCAATATAATTATGAATCTTTTTGGTTCAGTCCTTGTTCTTTGTTTGTATTATTATGGTTATGAAAATATTCATAACTGAGTCACATAGATGCAAGGATTACATTTTCTTTTTTGACAACTTTTAGTTTTTTCTGAAGTTAATAACGTTTTTGCCATTTGTTTAGTTTCTTTTTTTCTTTCCTTTTTTTTTTTTATTTGAGGCAGAGCCTCAAGCTATTGCCCTAGGTAGAGTGCCATAGCGTCACAGCTCACAGCAACCTCCAACTCCTGGGCTTAAGCGATTCTCTTGCCTCAGCCTTCCAAGTAACTGGAACTACAGGTGCCTGCCACAATGCCCGGCTATATTTTGGTTGTAGTTATCTTTGTTTGGCAGGCCAGAACTGGATTCGAACCTGCCAGCTCTGGTGTATGTGGCTGGCACCTTACCTGCTTGAGCTACAGGCACCAAGCCTGTTTAGTTTCTTATGTACCTCATTAATTCCCAAACTCACCCACCGAACTTAATATCTCTTCATATGTGCAGTTCTATGAGGTATTCGATTTGCTTCGTTTTTCTTCTTAAAGATATCCCTTCTATAGCCTCTGTCCCCCTGCTCCAGTCTGGTCTGGTGGTTCTAAGACCTGTTGCACAGTTGTCCTGGGACTTGGATTTATCATAGTGTTGGGAATTACCTTTGTCTCTTTTAGGTTGAATGACTTCCTGTTTTGTTTTGTTTGTTTTTGTCTATTCCCCTATATTGGTAAAATGTACCTCAATTGCCATTTAAAAAAAGAATACATAGATGAAGAAAAGCTTTTTCATATCTTATCTGAAAGTATATTTTGCTGTCTTTCTTGATTAATAGTTTGAGTATATGGAAAGTGGGATACTACTTGCCCTCCAATTGTTGAATACATTGTTTCATTATCTTTTAGGTCTAGATCAACAAGTTGAATAGAAATATAATGGGAACAGTGAATGGGAGCTTACCTCTAATTTTAAATTTTCTAGTAGCCACATTAAGAGAAGTAAAAACAGATGTATTTAAGCATAATAATATATTTTACTTAATTCAGTATATAAAAAAATTCTCATTTCAGTATAAAAATATTGAACTAAATCTTTGAAATGAAGTGTTTATTTTATAGCTCACTCGAATTTTCTAACTAGCCACATTTGAAACACTTAGTAGTTCTGTGCTTGGTGGTTACCATTTTGGACAGTATAGGTTTAGAGTATTGCTGGTGGCATCCTAATTTCATGATTGCTATTTTCCACTGGAAGATTTCAGGGTATTTTCTTTATCCTTTTGTTGCTAATAATTGCTATTTTTAGTAAAAAATTATAGCCATTGTAGTGGGTAGGAAATGGTACCTCATTGTGGTTTTGATTTGCATTTCCCTCATGTTGAGCATCTTTCTACATGCTTACTAGGTTTTATGTTACAGTTAATCTTAACTGGCTACCCAGGGACTTCACTTTTGCATCTTTCTAAGATGCTGTGTTGGATGGGAAAGGATGAGGGAAACATGGGATTATTTGCAAAATCCTTGCTTCTAATTGGCTGAGTCAACAGATAAAAGTCTAATAATACAATTTTAGCTAAAAGTCTTAATTGTATATATCATATTTTGGTCTATTTAGTAATATTGTATTCACCTGTAGCAGTGTCCTCTGGATAGACTATCCTGACACTTGTTTATAAGTCATTCATATATTTATTAGTGAAGTTTTAATAGACCCTAACAGAGCCCTCTATTTAACTTACAATTTTAAAAGGATTCACTATTTATTTTATGTGTCTGTGTATATTACATGAGGTTTCCTTAAAGTAAGAGCCTTACGTATAAAAAAAAGGCTATTTCTGGTTAATTTGTGGCCCAGGATTATTTGGCTTTTGGTAGATCAGAGTTAGACTGTCTATCAGAGTCCCATAATTAACACGTTTATTATAATTGATGTAGAGCTTCCCAACCTTTTTGTATCATTGTACACATAAAAACTGTTACGAGTTTAACAAATAAAGTTGCTTAAGCTAGTGGTGGGCTCCCCTGAGGCTTGAGGGAATCAGTAATTAAGTATACCTTTAGACAAGGCTTACTGGATGGGGAAGTGACTTAATACAATTTTTTACATAGGTTTGGTTTAGGTGATTTAGCTGTAAATGTTTGGCTTAGGTGATTTTAATTCTGGCTCTGGAAAAAAAAATTAACATGACATGTAATAGATGCATGCCAAGATAGATCTGGTAGATGTGTTTGAAAGTGGTGCATCCATAATAAATGACATTTTAGTTCAGATCTTTTCATTTATAGGCAACAGAGACCAAATTCAAATTGGCTTAATTTTTAAAAAGGGAATGTAGTGAGTAAAGTAATAAGAAAACCCAGGGGTGGGCATGCTTTCTGCACAGCTGGATCTAGGGGCTCTAATGCCACCTATGTTCCTTATTTAAAAGCTTTAGTCCACAAGCTGGGCATTGTGGTAGGCATCTTTAGTCCCAGCTACTTGGGAGGCTAAGGCAAGAGGATCTTTTAAGTCCAAGAGTTTGGGTTGCTATAAGCTGAGACATCACAGTTGTCTAGCCTGGGGCAACAGAGTGAGACTGTCTCCAAATAAATAACTTTTAGTTCACATTTACGTGGTTTAAGCTTTTCTATATACTAAGTGAAATTTTCTAATATTACTGCTATATTGAATGATACTGTAAGATCAAGGTTGCTGGACCAAAAATTTGACCTATTAAAGTCATTGAAATAGTTAGGGTTGTACTTGCTATTAATCATGTTATGTTATTATCTTTTTGCATGGGTTGACACCATGTTAACAATTGGCTGTGGTAGAGTTTTTACGTACCTGCAGGTATATACGCAAAGCAAACACGTACAGTAACGCTTTTCCCTGCTCTGCTTGTCTGCAGGCAGTGAAGTGAAATCTGCAAGAGTCCTGCTCGCTCAAGGCCTGCATACAGGAAAGAAGCAGGGGAAAAGCGTTACAAACAACTTTTGTTCTACAGCATTTTAAAATATAACAGGTAGGTCAGATTTTTGGTCTGTCAGCCTTGACAGTGTCCCTTAAAAGTGAACTAAGTAGTCTTTGAGGTCATGTCACTGAAATGTATTTAAATGTGACTGGGATAAAAGTTCTTTTAGAATTTTTGTTCTTGGAAAGAAGCAATTATTATAAACTCCCTTAGTGTTATTAGACACTAGCTACTAAAATAGCTTTTTTTCTAATGAGAATTGTTGCTCAGCTTGGGAGTGGCAGACATGATAAAGATGTAATAAAATTTCTTTCTAGATTTCACTTTTAAAGATTTTTAAAAATTTAAATTCAGTCCTGTGGACTGAACCGCAAAATGTATTTTGTATGCCCTAGCAATACTCTGAAACATAATTGTGACTTTAGAATATAAAAAGAACAAGAGGAAAATTTTAGGCCAACTACCTGTAACTACCAAGTTACTAATGCACCCATTTTGTTTTTGTAGGTATATTGGAAAGTCTGATTCGGTTACAATCAGTGTATGGAATCACAAGAAGATCCATAAAAAACAAGGTGCTGGATTTCTTGGTTGTGTTCGTCTTCTTTCCAATGCCATCAACCGCCTCAAAGACACTGGTTGTGAGTAGATACTAGTGCTTTTTAAATTAAAAAAAAAAAGAAAGAACATTTATGTTGTCAGGGTTTCAAAAACTTAATTTCCTGTGTATGTCTGAAACATTGGTAAAAATTCCTGGTCTAAATTTATTTGGCACATTAAAAAAAGAACATTTTAAGTATGTGAAAACTACAACTGAATCAAAGCTGATGCTTTCACTGAATTTGTAAGTATTAAAAAAATGATTGATATTCAGAAGGGTGAAAAGAAAGATGTGAAGGTTTATGTGCCCTTTAAAATTTCTTAGTACCCTTCCCTGGTTTTGGTGGATTTGTGCAATGAAGTAAGTATTTATTTAGGTGATTAGAGTGTTTAAGGTGATAAAGGGGAATTATTAGTGGGTAAGAATGGCATAATATGTACAACTTCTGTGACAAAAGAAAGCTAAGACATTATTTTGAGTGTAACACAGCTAGCTGTATTAACTACTTAACCATATCTCAGTTAATCACTAACCTGGATATTTAGAAGATTTAGACCAAGATCAAGACATTAGAAGTGTTGATTTCATAATAGATTTGACAGGTTGACTTAACATGTATGTAATTCATGTAATCGGGTGACAAAAGAATCTTGGGGGAGGATCTTTCCATAGGAACATAGATGGAAATATCTTTTTCAACAGCTCTTGTTTCTACAGAGTTCTTTTTTACATAATATATAAAAGATTGTTATTGTCATGGGATTTTAGTCCAGATGCCTGTGCTAAACAAACTCACATGAAATCTAACTAAGGAGGCTCAGCGCCCATAGTACAGTGGTTACAGTGCCAGTCACATACACCGAGGGTGGCGGTTTGAACCCAGCCTGGGCCAGCTAAGCAACAATGACAACTGCAACAGAAAAATAGCTGGTGTTGTGGTGGGTGCCTGTAGTCCCAGTTACTTGGGAGGCTGAGTCAAGAGAATAGCGTAAGCCCAAGAGTTGGAGGTTGCTGTGAGCTGTGACGTAACAGCATTCTACTGAGGGCGACATAGTAAGACTCTGTCTCAAAAAAAAAAAAATCTAGCTAAGGAAACTAATAAAAAAGAGTTAATTTAGCATTGCATGTTAGATATATTAAGAAATGATTTCTTGGCTCGGCGCCTGTGGCTCAAGTGGCTAAGGCGCCAGCCACATACACCCAAGGTGGCGGGTTCGAATCCAGCCCGGGCCCACCAAACAACAATGA